CTGTCCTGGCAGTTTGTGTACAAGTCATAAACGCCCAAATTAGAAATAAATACCACTACACGAGAAAATAAAAAATAAATAAATTCAGAGAAGATGATCGCCGGCGTAGCAGAAGACGAAGAGAAATGGCTTTCCGCTGGGATCGCCGGCCTTCAACAGAACGCCTTTTACATGCATCGAGCACTTGTACATATCGAATAACCTCAAATACGCGCCATATATACACATATCCTCCGTCTTCATGTATATGTATTTTTTATTGATTGGGGGAAGGAAGCCCTAGTTTTGAATTTTTCTAGTTGGTTTTGAATTTCAGGATTCGAATAATTTGAAGGATGCACTCAAGTACTCAGCTCAGATGCTGTCAGAACTCCGCACTTCGAGGCTTTCCCCACATAAATACTACGAGCTTTGTATGCAATCGAATTAGAATTTCGGTTTCATCTGATATTGATACTGTTTTTTTAATAATTGTGTATGAGTTGTTAATTTTTTTTAATTCGAAATCTAAATCTGGGGGGTAGATATGAGGGCATTTGACGAATTGAGGAAACTGGAAATATTCTTCAAGGAGGAGAGCAATCGTGGTTGCTCCATTGTTGAGCTGTATGAGCTTGTCCAACATGCTGGCAACATTTTGCCTAGACTGTAAGTAGGAACTACATTTTTTCTACAGTTTACTTTTGTAATGTGATTTTGATGTTGGAATATGCTTGTAAATTCAGGGCAGTTGCTTATTTATGGAATTAAATATCCATAGAAGGAACAGTACTAGAATGCTATTTGTTTTTAGTATAGTTCTCAATTATGTAGTTTAAATACGTGAGCTTCCAAATGAAAAAAAAAAAGCATCATATCATATCCCTTAGGAAATATTTTCATGACTTCTGTGGGGTTGAATGGTTGTTTTACGATTTAGGCATTGATGAATTCTCTGCACTATGGATTAATTGGTCATCGTTCTTATTGACATGTTTTTGTCTAAGGTATTTGCTTTGCACAGTGGGCTCTGTATACATAAGATCAAAAGAAGCTCCTGCGAAGGATGTTCTCAAGGATCTTATAGAAATGTGTCGTGGCATACAGCATCCTGTTCGTGGGCTCTTTCTGCGGAGTTATCTTTCTCAAGTCAGTAGGGATAAATTGCCTGATATTGGTTCAGAGTATGAAGGGTAAGAACGTGAATTGTCACTGCGGGCTTCTTCATAAATTTAGGATAACAACCTACATAGTATTACAGCTTGGTTTTAAAAAATTATCTGGCTGTTGCATCTTGAATCTTTACTATGCATTTAGTTTTGCACTATATTTGACATGTCAGCTTTAAGTCTCTGGCTTTGGATGCTTTAAATATACGACATTCCCACGTGACAAAAGTTGATTTCCTAGTACTTTTATTCATGGAACCTCTATAACTCAGTTCTAGATCATCCTGTTCTTTAGTAGTTCAGTACAATTTAATATAAGAATGTAACATTATAAAGTTCTGTTGTTGCATTTAAGGATTCTATTCAAATCTTTGTGAGTCAAGCATTTTCTGAAATTGATTATTTAATTAATCTAAGAGAACCAAATTATGCCTTTATCTTGATAAACTACACCATCTTCTTAGCTTTATATTCCAAAGTGAAAAGATTTTTTGATCCTGAATTCATTAAATATGTAGATGTATTGAACTTTTGTTGTATGCATCAAATACTCTTCCTACTCTGTGTATGTTTATGCATGTTTTCAAATTATATCAAGTTAATACTCGTTAATATCATATGTATGTTAACATTTGATGTAATAATTATTTTGGAACTGTTTTTAGACCTCATTTGCTGATTTGATGCTTTAACTCCTACAGGGATGCTGATACTGCCATGGATGCTGTTGAATTTGTTCTCCAAAATTTTACAGAGATGAACAAACTTTGGGTTCGAATGCAACATCAGGTGAGTTGAGAAACTATGGACTTCACTATATACTCATATATGAACCATGGATGGGACTACAGATCTTGGATGCCATAGGCATGTTAGGGTGGCTTAATCTAAGAAATAAGAACCAAATATATGGCTTATTTGAATGAGGTGGGCCCAATTGAAAATAAATCATACATTTGGTGCTTATTTTTTTTAATAAGCCACCCCAAACATGTTTTAAATCATGAGGGCACTATTCATTTTCATGCCTTTTTTTATTTTTTGGGAAAATTCATACATCATGCTGATCATGAGCTGAGGCTTGCAATTGGACTTCCTGAACTGCAGGGACCTGCTCGAGACAAGGAGAAGCGGGAAAAAGAAAGGAGCGAACTTCGTGATCTTGTAAACTCAGCAGTCTGACTTGGTTTATATTTTTGAAAAGCAGCAGTGTGCACACTTATGCAAGATTTTTTTGTTCATTGCCTTTTGGTTAGGTTGGAAAGAACCTTCATGTTCTCAGTCAGATTGAGGGTGTTGACCTTGATATGTATAGAGAAACTGTTCTTCCAAGAGTGTTGGAGCAGGTATTTTGCTTTCTTTTTTTAGATTATTTTTCCTCTCTGGTGAATGTAATATTGTAAAATATCTACCTCTACTGTGGCTTCAGGTTGTCAACTGTAAAGATGAGATTGCCCAATATTATTTGATGGATTGCGTAATTCAAGTCTTCCCTGATGAATACCACTTGCAGACTCTTGAAACAATATTGGGTGCTTGCCCTCAGCTTCAGGTTGATCAATGTTATTGCATTGTTCAATGAGCACTACATTTCCTAAAAGTTGTAGACCTGTAGCATCCATCTAATTCTATAGTGGTTTCCTTTTATACGTTGCTTATTTTTCTTTTGTACGTGCTTTGTTTCTGTTAGCCATCTGTTGACATAAAAACGGTTCTTGCTCGACTAATGGAGAGGCTTTCAAATTATGCTGCTTCTTCTGCAGAAGTAAGTAGCTTGTCAAAGTTTCATTGATTTTGATGTTATCCATTGTTCCTGATAAATGGTTAATGCAGGTCTTACCCGTATTTTTTCAAGTAGAAGCTTTTGCAAAGCTAAACATTGCCATAGGCAAGGTAATCTGGTTCTCCTTCTGAAATTTACATATTGTAGTGCCTTCTAATGATGATTTAAGGAGCTCAGTTTTGTTAATATACTTAAGCATTTTCACTTCATGTATAAGATCAGAAACCAATGCTCCAAATAAAGAGTGTTAAGATGGATGATTAAATGATAATTTTTTCTCTCTCTTCTGATACTATCCCTTTAATTTTTATTTTTTTTAATTGTGTAAGATTCAATATTTGCCAATGGAAAATTATGGATGCACTGTGGGAAGCAAATTATGAGAAATTAAGTCGCCTGTCAATGTTTTAGAGTAGTCTTCTTGATCTGATCTTTCAGATTGCAGTTTTATGTTTGTGTTTGCTTAGTGCTTGTTTGGTCAGGATTTTAAGCCAATTAAAATCAAATTTTTTTTGACTATTTTTTAACTATT